ACACACACACACACACACACACACACACACACACACACACACACCCTCTCCCCCGACGCCCGTGATCACGATTAGCCCCACTCCAGGGGAAAGTGGCCGGAGCTCCTCTCACCTGCTCTGGGGTCTGAGAGGGTGCAGTGGCCCTGACTAAGGAGCCAGGAACTGGTCCCAGTGGCAATATCTTTCATCGTTTTTTCTTTGGCCCCGTTTGCCCACCGAGAGTGGGCGGCTGGAGCGCCCCTTTAACACGCTGACGGCGGAGCTGGACGACCTTCGAGTTTCTGACAATCTCTTGTAGAGCCCAAGAGGCTATGCGCACCGGGGCACTGGGAGCCTGCGAGTGAGGAGCCACTGTGCGGCTTGGCTCCCGCCCACCTCGGAGCCACACGCCTGCCCCTTGGGAGGGGTCAGCTTTGGCCTGAGAATTTGGCCTCCGTCAAAAGCTCGGGCAGCTCCGAAGATCTCCAGTCTGCCCCTATGATTATTCCCTTTTCTTGTAGGCTTCCTCTCCAGGGTCTCCTATTCGGAATTCCTGAATGAACACTTGAGGTGGCCCAAGTTCATGCTTCATGCTCCCACATTTGCTTTTTTTATAAGGGTTGAGGGGAGGCCTCGGGAATTCCAAATGGAGCCCAACTAACTCCAGGGCAGCCAGAAAAGAACCTGGCCTGGGTGCGCGCAGGCGGAGGCATGAACGCCTTACCTCGGGCGGCAGCGAAGGGGTTAGGCGCCGCCGCACTCCCGCCTGACTCACCCTCCCAGCTCTAACCACTGCGGACTATTTTTGCCAGAGAGGGGCCTCAGGCTTCCCAACCACCCCCAGCCCCTGCCAGACCGCAGCCCCAAGCACAGCACCACGGCTGGCCCTGCGCACCCGAGGCCCATGGACTCAGGGACGACCCCCCAGGACACAGGAGCACAGGGCTGGTACCCACAGCCACAACCACCATCGGTGGCAGCAAGCAGCAAGGCTGGGCAGCCGGCCCCGGTCTGCCTCCTCGGCCTGAAGGGACACCGCTGGCTAGGTGTCTAAACAGTACAGGGGAGGTCAGGTCTGTGGGGCTGCTCACTGAGTGCTGGGGAGGAGAGATGCTAGAGCCAGTGTGCTAGACAGCCGGGACCACAGTAGGGTTCTCTTTCTGATTGATTCCACCACCTCTGGAGTAGGGACAGGCGGTCCAAGACCTCCGGAACCTCCTTCTCATTTAGGGGAAGAGGGCCAAACCATGTACGACTTCTGAGGTGGACAAATACAATTTCAGTAGCTTCCATCCATTACTCCAGAATCCAGGATCCTCTCCCAGTACCCTCTCCTCTTTCCTGCCTGTCAGTCTGGGACTCACCCAGGCCCCTGGAAGGGTATCCCACAGACCTTTTCTCCATCAGTACCTTACGGACATTTATGTTTCTCCACGTGGCTGTGGTCCCGTTCCCACTTTCAGTTTTATTGTGTCTTGTTCCTATTTGTCTCCTCTCCGATGCTACCCCTGACTGGCTCCAGCATTTTGTCAGATGTAATGAAAGGGCTAAGTAAGGCAAGCTTGGAGAGTGGTGGCCCACACTCTTAATCCCAACACTCGGGAGGCAGAGGCAGGTGGATCCCTGTGAGTTCAAGGCCAGCCTGGTCTGCATAGTGAGTTCCAGGACAGCCAGGACTACGTAGTGAGACCCTGTCTCAAATAAATAAATAAATAAATAAATAAATAAATAAATAAATAAATAAATAAATAAATAAATAAATAAAACCAATAACAAGAATAATGGAGGGGCTAAGGAAGATCAGCAGCCGGAGGCTCAACTTCTCAGTGGCCTGGGGGCTCCCCAAGTTGGGCTATCCCAGTCCTAAGAGCTCGCGCCCGCCCCGGCGGTTCTCTCCGGGCTGGAGTCTAGCTCTCTGATAGAGAGCAGTGGGCCTGAGCACTGACCCACAGGCAGCTAGAGGGCGGTGGGACAGGCGGGGCCTGGAGAGGGCTGTGGGGGCACACCCATTGCCTAATACCCCAAGCACGCAGCCAGCTCCAAGAAAGGGGAGGGGCAGGGACCAGAGAGACCTTGACAAGGGTTGGGACCAAAAGACAAGAGGGGGGACAAAAGGGGGTGGCCATGGCTCCAGGGAGGACATGGGAGCAACCTGGTCCACCTTCCTTTCCGTGAGAAAAGTAGGTTACTCTTCCCCCCCGTGAGGACGGAGAGTGTGGCAAAACTCCGTGGGAAGAACATCGAGGCCCTGAAGGGCGGAGGAGTCTCAAAGAAGAGAGTGGGGGCCTCTGGAGATGGGGGGGATCAAGAGACTGAGGCGGTGCCTACACTCGGGAATCTCCTCCTCCTCCCCCTCCCCTGATGTTTGCCTTGGCTGGGGTCTTGGGTGACTCATCTGTTGCTAAGCCGCTGATAGGGGCGGCCAGCCCAGGGAACCCAAATTATAGGCCCGGGAGGGATGGATGCGCCTGTGGCGGTGAGCTCAGCCATGATGCCTCCCTCCACCTCGCCGGTCTTCCACTGCAGTGCCGAAGGCCACCACCCAGAGGCGCCAGAGATGTTGCAGACACACCTACTGGACTCCAAGGAAACCCCCACGTTCAGCAGTTAGCCCCAACAAAGCTTGTGGACCACCCTAGGCAATTTTACCCCCTCGTCTACTAGAGGCCCTTGGATGGGCTGCCCATTGCCAGCCCGAAGGGTAGTGCCTGCTGCCTGCCTGTGCTTCAAAGGCATGCCCAAGAACTCTGATCCTTGATCCAGAGCTCTGTCTAGATCCCAAGGTCTAAGCGAAGGTCCCTTCCCCCACCCCACCACCTCTCTCCTGCAGCTATTCCGAGGGCCCTGTTTTGCTACTGCGATTCTACATCAATCCTTTGCAGTTAACTGTAGCCAAAAGGTATAGAGAGCGCCGGGTCACATGCGCCTGTAATAAGGAAGCTGAGGCAGGAAGATTGAGGATCCGAGGCCAGGGGACTGGAGAGATCAGCAGTGATGAGCACTTGCTGCCCTTGAAGAAGCCCCAGGTCCAGTCCCCAGCACCCACGTGGTGGCTCACAACCATTCATAATCCTAGTTCCATGGGATCCAACAGGCATGGGTGATGTGCACATACATGCACGCAGGCAAAACATTCATACTACAAAGAAAAATAAATAAATCTAATAAATTTTGAAACAAGAGAGGATTCAAGGCCAGAGCTAGGAGTGGCAGCTCATGAGCCATGCCTTTAGTTTGAACACGGGAGAGGCCAAGGCAAGTGGATCTCAGTGAGTTCGAGGCTAGCCTGGTATACATGGTGAATTCCAGGCTAGCCAGGGCTTCATAGTGAGAGCCTGCCTTACAACAACAACAATAATACCTCAAGAGATCTAAGGAGGAGATTCCCAAAGACAGAAAGGTACCCAGACCTTGAGAAAGGACCACACTTGGTATGTTCAAAGGACCAGAGGTCAATGTGGGGAGTAATTCTCAAGCGGGAAATTGGTTGGCTGTGAAATTGAAGAACCAGGAAGGAATGGGGTCAGATCCGATCCGATGATGCCTTGTAAGCTACTGTAAAGGATTTTTTTTTTTTTTTTTTTTGTTTTGTTTTTCAAGACAGGGTTTCTCTGTGTAGCTTTGGAGCCTATCCTGGAACTCTCTCTGTAGACCAGGCTGGCCTCGAACTCACAGATATCTGCCTGCCTCTGCCTCCTGAGTGCTGGGACTAAAGGCATGTGCCACTACCGCCCGGCTTGTTTACTTTTTAAATTGTGTGTGTTTGTAGGTGTGTCCTGGGAGGCCAGAGGTGCTGGAGTTACAAGGCACTTGTGAGCTGCCTGAAGTGCGTGCCGGGAATTGAACTCAGGTCCTCGGCAAGAACAGTGTATGCTCTTAACCACTGAGCCATCTCTCCAGCCACAACTTCATTTTTAGAAAGGATGGTCTTGACTACTGTTGGGAAAAGCATGAAGACTTGATAGGAAGAGGTAGCCGTGGCTTTAACCACCACACAGCAGCTGGGGAGTGAAAAGGGGCCAGCTTCTGTGTGAACTTTACAGATTGAGGGTCAGGGTTTGCTGACAGCATAACATGAAGTGTAAACCCCATAAACCAAAGGTTAATTCCAAAATTTAAAATTAAAAGATATATATATATATCCAGATAGTGGTGGCTACACCTTTAATCCCAGCACTCGGGAAGCAGAGGCAGGCAGATCTCTGAGTTCGAGGACAGCCTGGTCTACAGAGTGAGGAGGTCCAGGGCAGCCAGGGCTGTACAGAGAAACCCTGTCTCAGAAACATACATACATACATATATACATATACATATACATATACATATACATATACATGTAATTTTATTCTATGTGTGTGCATTCTTTCTTTGCTAGGATTAAAGGCGTGTGCCACTGCTACCGCCAGGCTGCGTGTGGGTTCTTTACCTGTATGTCTGTAAACTACATGTGTGCCTCCTGCCTGCAGAGGCTAGCCCTGGTTCCAAGATTTTTGCCCTGGGGATGAAGGCCAGGGCTGTCATTTACTGAGAATGGCTGAAGAAAGAGGAAATTAAGCAATGGAGGGATTAAGAATTAAGTGGTGTTGGACATGTGAACTTCAAGGCGCTTACTTAAGTGTTAGGGATACATCTAGAATTCATAGCCAGTTACAAATTAGGAAACATGGGGGCTGGAGAGACGGCTCAGTGGTTAAGAGCACTGGCTGCTCTTCCAAAGGACCTGGGTTCAGCTCCTTCCCAGCACTCACATGGTACTTATAACCATCTGTAACTCCACTCCCCGGGTATCTAATGACTTCTGGACTCCAGGGGCACCAGGAACACCAGTGGTACACAGACCATACCCAGACACATTAAATATA